GGATAAACAGATTTAGAATTGGTCAGTGAAAGGACATAGGCTGTTACAATTTTGAAAGCTAGGACACATTTCCCAACACAGATGTGTACCAGCTTACACTTACAATGCACGAATGCATCGCGTAAACCATACCCCCACCCCCCCAGCCCCGCAACCCACTGGCCTTCCAGGTTCCCTTCCCAGGGGCAACCAAAATTACCAATTTTTGATATTAGGAATAAAATAGGAATCCAACTCTTACTTTTTTCCAGATATCCACATACCACTTATTGAATAATCTGTGAAAGTATTACTTTTAAGCAATGTAAACTTAAAATTTCTGCATAGTCTTCAAATGTCAAAATTCCAGTTTGAAAAGCTAAGGTTACATTTTCCATACAAATGAATCACAAAGCCCAGGATTTGGATAACAGGTTTTATGTCAACACGCCAGTATCATCATGGTACATAAAATGACTGTTAAGTAAAACTTTGTTAAATTCTGTTTTTCTCTCTCAACAGGAAGGAAGAGTGCAGAGCAAGGCCTGGAGATGTCGAGGTTACCAGTGTTCTCACTCCAGGAAAAGAGCTACATTAAAGGCACATCTGATTTCTTGGGATTGGGTCACTTTACAACTCGGTACATCACAGGAAAGAACTACCCCTCCCGCCAGGGGCCCAGCTACCAGAACGATCGTGACTTAATAGAACTGGTTGACCCAAACTGGCCTGATCTGGGGTCTAAGTGGCTATATTCTGTGCCATGGGGATTCAGGAGGCTCCTCAACTTTGCTCAGGTGATTATCAAAATTAAGCTATTTAAAAGGCAATTTTGACCTGAATTCATGGTCTTAGAGCTTAAGCACAGGTACTTACATTGTAAAGTCAATGAAACAAAACAAATCCAGTTACTCATACTTCAGAGGGCACTAGATATAGACCTTACAGACTAATGCCTACTGTGACTAACCATTTCAATGTATACAACTGTAGGTAAAAAGTCTTACCCCACATTTAATTATTTTGCTGCCCTTCTCACCTTTAAAGGAATATGTGGGAAAGAGTAAGGCCTGAAATACATTTTCTCTACGATGCTAATTTATTGAGAAAAACATTCTTTCATATGAACTTGCCTCCTGCCTACATTCATCTCTAAATAAACGTGTGAACTGGCATCTACCAAACACACCTCGAATAGAATATGACAGGCTTGAACATGTGTGACTCCATGTGTCTCAGACTCAGAAACCCACCTACGTTGGAAGTTTTAAGATATTCGCTATTATGACTCACTTTCAGACTCAATACGGCGATCCTCCCATATATGTGATGGAAAACGGAGCATCTCAAAAATCACACTGTACTCAATTATGTGACAAGTGGAGAATTCAATACCTTAAAGGGTATATAAACGAAATGCTAAAAGGTAAGATACAAACCAAGACTGTCTTCACATACTTTTCTATTTAACTTGGACAAAATCTGTTAATACACATGACTGACAAAAACTTGTTTCTAAAATGTCATAAATGAAAACACTTAAGATTATCTTCACAATATAATTTTCCAAGAAAATGAAATATATTAAACATGGCATAAAATGTCTTTGCAGCTATAAAAGATGGTGCTAACATAAAAGGGTATACTTCCTGGTCTCTGTTGGATAAGTTTGAATGGGAGAAAGGATACGCAGATAGATATGGATTCTACTATGTTGAATTTAACAACAGAAATAAGCCACGCTATCCAAAGGCTTCAGTTCATTATTATAAGAAGATTGTCACTGCCAATGGGTTTCCCAATCCAAGAGAGGTACGACTGATTAATTACCCATGTCACTCATTCTGGATTTTAGAAGAACTAGGCAGCTGGGGTGCAGAGTTTGGCAAGCACCTCTCCTCTCACCTCCAGGAAAGAGGAGAGGTGTGGGTGGGAGCATGGCCTTTTGTCTTCCCCGAACTCACACAACCTCTTTGCTCATTTGCTTAGAAGGGGTAAGCACACCTTAAAATTCAGTCCTAACATGCACAATATTAAGGGCAGACTAGGGCTATGCAGGAGTCCTGTTTGCTTTAGGTTATAATCATCAACTAAGACTTTTAGTTAAATGTTATTCTAAATGTTGTATCGCAAGGCAAACAAATACCGCCTATTCTTCAACATACGTGAAGTTAAGTAAATAAAAAGTACAAGGACCATATAATTTTCATTTCTTTTCCGACCAAAAGGCAGTCATACAAATGCACTGGTTCCAAACTGAGATTTAAAATAACCAAACTTAATAATCCTTTAAAAGCTACCAACATTTTCAATGACCTACACATTTTTCTATCAGCTCTCTGTGTTGCTGTACCTAATGGCAGGAAATACAAATTGTATTTGGAATGTCCTAACAAAAATAGTTTTTAAAAAGCAAGCTCACTTGTTTACCAACATTCTTTTAGGGTGAGCCCAGTGGGACCATACACAGAAGCAGTGACTGATGGCTATCAGGCATTCACTAGTTTTGCATTATTAGAAAAGCACTAGATTATAAGCTCCTCAAGAATAAAGACTATGTTTTGAGCCCCTCATAATGACGCACATAGATGTTCAATAAATATTAACTATTTTAACCTACAAGCAGATTAAAAAATTTTTTCTCCCACATTCTTCCAAAAATAAGTTCAAACAGCAAAAAAATTAGTGTAAGACAACATTACTTATCAAGTGGTTTTTTCTTAGGTGAAAAGTTGGTACTTTGAAGCCTTGGAAACTTGTTCTATCAACAGCCAGATGCTTGCTGCAGGTGAGTATATTTTAATTATTCCCTTCGATAATTAAACCACATAATTATATGATATTACCAAAATTTCAAAATGTGGATCTAGGGCCGGCCAAGTGGCTCAGGTGGTTAAGAGCTCGCTCAAGAGTGTGAGCTCTGAGCAACAGCGGTTCAATGCCTGGCCCAAGCTGAGCTGCCGCTGAGCTGCCCAACAGGCGGCAGGATGGCTCAGCTTAAAAAAAAAAAAAATGTGGATCTACCCTAAGTCAAGATTCTAAAACCATGATTAAAAATGAATTTCTTGGGCCGGCCGAGTGGCGCGATGGTTGAGAACTCGCTTGGGATGCCGGAGGGCCCCGGTTCGGATCCCACATATGAGGGCCAGTGACACTGCCCTCCACAGCTGGGATGCTGAACGGCGG